AGAGAAGCAGCTTCAGTTTTATTTTTCACAAGAAAATCACTTAAACCAATTTCGGTACTTTTACTAACAATCATTTAAGGGGTGGAGCTCCTTAGGAATTGGCTCATTTAAATGTTCAAGAGAATCTGTGTCATTTAAATTCTGGTTTCTGGCATGTATATTGTTAGCATGTACTTCACCTGCTTAGGAAAACATGAGTGCCTCTCTTTCTGTCTTGACTAGGTTTTACCAGATCGAAGTCATCCCAAACTGCTGATGAGTGGAGGTGGGGGGTACCTTCTCTCAGGCTTCACTGTCACCATGGACAACCTTAAAGCAGACCCTGGTCTCAAATCCAACTCAAGCACTTTAGAATTACGCAAGACTGAAGAACCAGCAGCTAAAAAACGGAAATGCCCAGAGTCTGACTCTTAACCTTTCAAAAGTTGCTTTGATTTTTGTTCTTAGGCGTTATGCAGTTAGGAAGTAAACTTTAAATGTCCTAAGAATAAGATTATGTCTGTACACTTGTTCCTGAGAAAGATAAGTAAGCCTTTTGTTCACCTCTGACAGATGGATCTGGTCTGTCAAAACCTTGAGCCAAAATACCCAGGCCTGGGTATGCAGTGGGCTGAGATATGGCCAATTCTGTTTATTTCACAGCAATACACTAAGTACTTCTAGTACTCCATGCAGATATCTTGAGAATTTAGACATCCTAAAGATATATTTATACAAGACTTTGTTTATGTGTTAAGCAGAATAACACAGCATAGTTAAAACTTGGTGGGTACTTTAAGGAAGGAATTTGTGGAAAAATTTCCCTGTTCCACTCTCTGCAACCTAAGCAATACTGATGTGTGTGTTAGATTTACAGTACCAAAAATGTCCACCCTCTTCCCGCAGTGGAAGAAACTTAAAATGCCAGATGTTTTATTTTAATAGTTGACAACCTAGGAAAGTCAAGTATTTATTTTATTGCTTTTTTTGTTGATAGAAAGGTGTAGTAGGGTGCTTTTTTGTATTAATTTACCAATCTCCTCATTCTTTATTCTAAATAAAGTGACTAGAATTTTGGAGTACTATTCAATTAAAGGAAACAAAGGGTTTTTTCCCTCCCCAGAGACTTATGGAGATACATAATTGTATACACAAATATATGTACAGTGAGTCCTCATTTAACGTTGTCAGTAGATTCTGTGACTTGAAGCAAAAACAATGTATACTGAAACCACTTTTACCATAGGCTAGTTCATAGAAACAAGAGTTAAGTTCTTACGGCATCTCATCAATGTTATAATGAAATTACACTGAATGAACCGATGTTATCCGAGGACCTGCTGTATATGGATGTTGGTATATATTCATATATATAGATATTTATATATATATACACATACACACGGAGACAGGATGCACTATCCCTATGACTCTGACAAAGTTTAGCACAGGGCTTAGACCAGTTCTCATTGCATTAGTGTCACTCCTTGTCAAATGTATTTTAAAGTGCCTTTTTGGTGATTATTAATGCTGGTTTGTTGAGCTCTGGCATGATTAGTTGGTTAGTCTTTTTAAGCTCTGAAAAAATATAATCACATTATTTGGGCATCTGCTGCAGCCAAGAAAAGTATTTCAAGTCAGCCAAGGCTCTTGTCCACGAGCCTTGCTCACTAAATACGCTCATTGTGTGTACGTATTGTTCACATCGTTAGAGTACAGATGCAAATCATCAGCCAGGAGCATCTCAGAAAAAAAAGCTTTTCCTAATAGCATGCACTATTTTAATAATGGCCAGTGTGATTACCAGGTACAGTTCTGATTCTTTTTTCTTAAAACAATTGCTTTCAAAGAATAAAAGTGTTTTTACTGGGATCTGTTGTACTGACATTAATGATGCCGTCTGTCACACCGCATTCACTGGCTTTCGGCCAATTGTGACACATGGTCTGTAAGAAAACATGTCCTGAGTGGCACCTCACTAGACTTGTCTTTGCAAACAATCCTTGCAGGTGTCACCCAGATACAACCAGTTAAGTTTGGTCAAGGGGAACGGTGCATAGACTCATTCAGTAGTGGCTGGTCTCCACTGGTGACTGTTAGAACCATCTCCTCCTTGGGACTCAGCCCATTCCCAAGTTCCATTCTATCCAATTCAGTCTGCTGTTCTGCACTACTGTGTGCCCACCGAGCTGCCCCTGGGGTTGACTTGTGGACTGATCTCATGCAATAGCAGCAAGTTAACCCTAACCTTTGAAAGTTATTTTCCTCTCAATATAGTTTACTTTGAGAACTGATGATTTGTGGTTTGAAAACCTGTCTAAACATACGGTAACAGACTCAAGGAAGAGAGGAGGCAAAAAGGAAAAAATGTGATTGATTTAAGTTAGGGTCACCAAAATACAGCCCACAAGTCTAATCTTGCTCATTGCCAGTATGGCCTGAAAGCAAAAGAAGAATAGTCTCGTGACTTGCAAAAATTACATAGCATTCAAATTGCAGTGCCCATAAATTAAATTTGATTAGAGCACAGCCATGTTAATTTGTGTATAGATATGGTTCCTGGCTGCTTTCATTCAGTGGCAGAAGCCAACAGTTGTGACAGAGACCATATGGCCCTTAAAGCCTAAAGTGTGTGCCATCTGGCTCTTTAAGAAAAAGTGTGCTGCCTAGCTGGTGTGGCTCAGTGATTGTCAACCCATGAATCAGGAGGTCATGGTTGGATTCCTGGTCACATGTCTGGGTTTCAGGCTCAGTCCCTAGTAGGGGGTGTGGAGGGGGCAGCCTATCAATGATTCTCATCATTGATGTGTCTCCCTTCCTCTCTGAAATCAATAAAAATATATTTTTAAAAAGAAAGTGCTGACCATGGATTTAAGTGATCCTTCTGGGCCCCCCAAACCTGCTGGCAGCATCTGAAATGGTTGACCCCTCTGCTTGCTACAGTTTCCCTCCCGTGGCTTCTAGGACAGCACTCTCCTGGTTTCCCTCCTGCCTTTCAGCCTTTCTTCCTCCATCTGCTGCTGGTTCCTCATCACCTCTGAGATGAATGTTTAGGAAAACATTGCACCTCTTCACTTTTTTGTCTACTTTTGTCTACACTCACTCCCTAGATGGAAGGATTTGAGAAATGATGAAAGAAAAATATATGACCATGAGGTGGCAGTAGCACCCACATGTTTTATTGTGTAATGGGTGACACCTGACAGGTTTTGAAGGTGGAAGGGAGATGACCCTCACAGCAGAAATCTGTCCAGAAGCTATACCTTGGAGTTGCTACTCAGATGGGAAGCGGGACAAGAGAACTCCCAGGGAGAGGGGAGTCAGAGGTGCCTTTTGTCCCAATGTTGCTCAGCAGTGTGGCAGGGGGTTGCTGGGTCTGAGAGCTCTGAGGGGCAAAAAAAATGCCATAACTTACAAGGCTTGGGGTTTTATAAGCACTAGACTATCTTATCAACGGCCAGCAGATGCCAGGTGTACTTCTGCAGAGGTAGGCAGGTGGGTCCAAAATGTCTAAACATTTGTTCATTTGGATGATGTTTAAAAATAAACGGATGTGTAAAATTTGTATCTGGCCCTGGCAGGTTTTTGAACTAATACTTCTCAGCCTACAGTGAAGAAATAACCTACGGGGCTAATGCAGAGAGGCCGTCTTTGGCTCATTTATAAAAAAGGAGGTGATCTCGCCCAGTTTTAAGGCTTTAAATACCATCTCTATGATGATGACTCCCACAGTATGTCTTTAGCACAGACCTTTCCTTAAGGTCCAGGCCCATATACCCAACTCAACATTTCCACTTGGTGTCCGGTCACATATCAAACTCAACATACCCCCAACCTGAGCTCCTCATACCTCCCCTCCCAGGACAGTCCCTCCTGCAGTCTTCCCACCTCTGTTCTTCAGGCCTAAAACCTTGGTATCATCTGTGACGCCTCTTTCTCTCATGCCACACCAAATCCAATAGCCCTACCTATCATGTCTCTCTAAAATAGGTCAGAGGGTGACTACTCCCACCATCAGGGCCATCACCCTGGTCCCAGCCATCACGATGACCCACCAGGATTATTGCAGTGGCCTCCTTACTGGCTTCTGCATCTCCACCCTCACTTCCCCACTGCCTTATCTCAACCCAGCAACCAGAGTGTTCTCGTCATTAACTTGCTGTTTTCACATTAAACATATATTATTGTAATTAAAAGAAGTTGGTGGCCCTGGGCAATCCTTGATTTCTATTTTTTTAAAATATATTTTTATTGATTCAAGGAGCGGGATGGAGAGGGAGAGAGAGAGAGAGAAATATCAATGATGAGAGAGAATCATCAATCAGTTGCCTCCTGCATACCCACTATGAGGATCGAGCCTGCAACCCAGCAATCGAACTGTGACCTCCTGGTTCATGGGTCGATGCTCAACCACTAACCTCCTACCCTGCCAAAGCATTAGGAGTGGATTAATTAAATGTTCGACCAAATATAGCAGGCTAATTTTTAAGTTGATAATTTTGTATGGTCCGAGAGTGATGTTATAAATATCCAAATGGCCTTTGGCAGAAAAAAGGTTCCCCATCCCTGCCTTACAGAGTAGAAATCAGGCCCTGATGGTTCAGCGATCTTTCTGGACCAGATGTGATTCCCAATCCTGAGTTCTTCCCATTATCCAGGCTTTCTCCTCAGCCCTGAAAACTGACCATGGGCCAGATATTCCCAGAGCTCTCCAGATTATAGGATTTTTAAAGTAATGTCTTAGCTCTTTTTATTTTTTTCCCCAAACAGGTTCTTCAAGCCTATTTAATCTTTCTCCAGCCTGCAGGAGCAAATGTCTTTTCCCGATCTCTCTTTATAGCCTTGAAAGGTTTGCATTGTTTTCCTATTGTAAATCCAAGACCAATAAATCCTAGAGCTGTCTTTAGAATTCACTTTAAAGAATGGACTTGGAAATCACACTCCTCCATATTAGCCCAAAGGAAGCTGAGAACATGAAATTTTAGGTTTCAGATGAATCTTTTATTATTTTAAATGGATACAAACATTTTTTTTTCAAAGATGGTAGCACAGTCATTGTCACAAGCATGTTAATATGTTGATTTTGCGAGAGAATATGCTACAAGTCATGCTATTCTTATTTTCAATAGCATTCTGGCAAAAGTTAAAGACATTCCTGATTGCTTCAAGCACTTAATGAATAGTAAATTCTATTTTCTGCCTTTGGCTAAATAAATGGTGGTGGGAAATAGATAATGTGAAGGCTGCTTCTTAAAATGGCCCTTGGCTCCAACGACCCTCAGCCCCTTCGATTACCACTGAACTTCTCAGCTATTTTCTGTAGTTCCAAATCCATTGCAGCCAAGTTTTCAAGTTCTTTTTCCTAAAAAACACAGAAAAATAGAAGTATGAGGTCCCAGATCAATTTATTTCATTGTAGTTTAAGGCAGCAGGTACAGAAAATGGAATTGTTGATATGTTAGAGGTTATATGAGACACCCTACATCAGTGGTTCTTAAAAGTGTAGCCCCCAGGCAGTGGTGTCACTGAGGAACTCCTCAGAAACGCAGATTCTTGGACTCCACCTGGGACTTACTGAATTCCAGATGCTGATGCACAGTCAGGTTTGAGAAGCACCTATGTGATCAATATGAGGAAAAGGGGGCAGCCCTGATCATGTTACCTCTCCAAGGTGTAAATTTCTGATTATTATCAAGCCATGTGCTGGCAAGGAAAGACCAAAACAACTAATTTCTCTATCATCTGTTCTTCCTTGGGAAATAGTGACACAGCGCCAAATAAGCAAGGGAAGACACCAGAGCAGTGGTTGGTTGTCAACCTTGGCTGAATACTGAAACCACCTGGGAGCTTTAAAAAAGTCTGATGCCCAGGCAGCACCCAGTACCAAACAGGATCTCTGGGGGTGAGTCCCAGACATCAGTCATTCTGCAAGCTCTCCAGTGGATTGCAGTGTGCGGGCAAGGTTGAGCAGCAGGTGGGCAGGGATGCTGACAGTGGCAAGATATGGGGGGAGGGGGAGTAATCAAACAGAAGTTGCCTCCAATCCGTTAACTGGGGGTGCATTATCATAGTGATTAACTCCCAGTTTCTCCCCATTAATATCAGATAGTCTTGAGCATATTAACATTAACCATCTTAAGTTAATTTTAAACAAAATCCCCACACTGTACCTCTTCCTCGGTCAGAACTCCGGGGCCAGCCCTGTCCTTTCCACCTTCCGCTTCGTGGTGTGGGCTCAGCGGCTCCTCAGGGTCATAGAAATCTGGAAATTCAGCCGACTTCTTCCTGAAGTGCAGGAGCTGGTCCAGCTGGGCCACACGATCGTACTGCCTTTTCAGATCCAGTTTGGGGACCAGGTTTCTCTTCTCATATCCCCAGTTCACATCCTCCTCAAAGGGCTTCCTCTCCCACCAGTCATAGCTGTATTCTGGGAAGAAATTCTTCTCATTCAAGGTCAGTCCATTTTCATCTACACCCTCAAGAAGATTGTCACCTATGTCATCTTTTCTCTCAAAATGGCTGCTCTTCACCTGGGAAGGGGCGTAGTAAGGGTTCAGCAGCTCCCCTAACCTCCTCCTCTTCTCTGTGGTGTGATAGGGAGCATACTGCTTGCCTGGAAGCCGGGCTTCCTCCCTGTTCTCCTTAGTGCCTTGCAGGTCCTCCTGCCGCTGCCAATTCCCCTGGACCCCCTCCTCACCGTTTTCCTCACCATAGTTGAGGTCATTTCTGTCCTGCTCTTTCCACTCGCCCTGCGGGTGCCTCCGTGTCTTGTCCATCTGGTTTTCTTGGACACGGAAGTGTCCTTCACCCAAAAATCGTTTCTCTTCTTTGTCTGGACTGGCATAGGCCCCAGGCTCCCCGACCCTGGCTCTGTGGCGGTATCCCCACTCAGGGCCCCTCTCCTCCTCACTTTCCTCACCATATCCATATGCCATGTTGTCAAGCTCTGCGTTGGGGGGAGTTCGCCTGTCCTCTTCCTGGCTCGCATCACTGGGAGGTCTTGGAGCCCCGTACTTCTCATTTCCTCTGGCCCCATAACGCCCCCCCTCCAGGTTCTCAGGAGCCGGGACCCCTATATAACTCCTCACGACTTCCCCATATTCGGGTTCTTCCTCTGAAGCCCTGTAGTGGGTTGGATAACGGTCCCTCTTGTCCCCTAAGCTGGCCATGCCCACGTTGGGCTCTTCGGATTCCGCATGGGGTTGTCCCCTTTCCTCTGGGGGAAGATTCCTTTCTTGAGAGGATCTGTCAGGCCTGCTCCGCCCGTGGTGATGTCTCGGCCTCCAGTGTCGTTTGTCCATCTCATGGCTGGCGTCTTCCTCACTTTCCTCAGAGTCTTCCTGGCTCCCAGATTGGCTTTTAGACTCGGAGTGTTTCTCCGGGTTCCTTGTCTCTTCTCTACTCTCTTGGCTACTCCTCTCCCTGCTGTGTGTCTTCTCCTCGGGGAGCCTGGCAGAGTGTGTATTGTATCTGGACATTATCTCCTCTTTTTTCTTAGCTGCAGCCTGGTTTCTTTTGTCAAGAAAGGCATTTTGTGTCTCGCCTGGCTCTTCCAGGTGTTTCTCTTCACTGCCACCTTCCCCATGCTCCCTTTTCGGGTATTTCTCTCCTTCCTCTTCCTCACCGTCCTCTCCCTCGCTCTTCTCAGGATGGTATGTCTTTGCCTCTTTGGAGACTTGACTCTCAGAGGGATGGAGGCTCCCTTGGGGCTCGCCTGCACCCTCTCGGCTGTGCCCACCTCCCTCTGTGTTGGCCACTGACAGGCCTTGGATGCCCGCCTCCTCTGGGTCTCCTGTGTCCTCCCTGCTGGAGGGCCTGTGGGCTTCTGAGGCGTCAGCTTGGTCTCTTAACAATCTAACTTTGAACCTTGTTTTTTCATTTTCACTTTTCTCTTCATCTTTAACCTCTTTTCCACCTGTAATGAAAAATTTAAAAGAGTAAGTATAACTTCAGAATTGCTTGTGGTTCAATCTCAGTGACCACTACAAATCCTAAGGATGCTGAACAATCACTTGAAAAATGTTTAAGTTAATAAAGAATATACTTAGATTCATTTTATAAGTACTGCGCGCTAACCGATTGCGCCACTGGAGCTCCTAGATTCTTTTTAAAAGCAAGTGGTATGAAAACTCCTTGACTGTTTCAATCTATTAATAAATTCTCTATTTTTATGTTTTCATAACACCCAACCAGCATCTCTCATTGGTCCTATCAATGATCACACTGAAACCCAAGTATAGATTTATGAAATATTAGAATTTAGAACCAGAAGAAACCTTAGAATTCGTCTAATGCATCTTTTTGCAGACTAAGACCTTGAGAGTAAGAGAAGTGTGATTTGGGACTATTCTTTCCATCTTTGCTCTAAGCAGGAATTGAAAAGTTACCATTGTATTAATGGCTCTACCTAGAATCCAGCTAAATAAAGTTAAATAGCCAAAATAAAAAATATCAAAATTAAAAGAAAAATTGAAACATTTAAAATTTTTAGTTTATCTGACTTTTATTGTCCAATCAACTATCTAAATTAAACCTAGCAGTCATGACAATATAACCGTTTTGGTGAGAAGAAGGGTGTATATTTGTTTACTGAGAAAACTACACAGCAGTGGAAAGGCCATTTCTTCCTTCCTCAGTCCCATCTGCCCAACATGCTCTCAAATGTTGAGGATGAAGATCAGTATACTGAGTTTTCTTTGTATTTCCAAGAGTCAACAGTAGATGGTATACCCCAATATTTTAATTGAATGCTGTTCTCTCCCGTCTTTTTCAAATGTCGACAGCTCCTGTACTAAACCCTCCTTAACTCAAGGACATCCCCTGAAAGGAGATATGCAGTTAACACTGTCAGACTTGTTAGCTGGGAGGTTTGGATTTCAACTTCTATCACTGAGTTCAGATAGAATGCCTGCAGCCAATGACACTCACAGCTCTGGGTCTACATCTGAGCTCTCCATTGTAGGGCCCACCAGCTCTCTGGCTATTTAGCACTTGAAATGCGACTGGTCCAAACTGAAGATGTGCTATAAGCATAAGGTAACCACCAGACTTTGAAAACTTCATATAAAAATTGTAAAACATCTTAATTTTTCATATTGATTATATGTTGAAATGACAATATTTTGAATGTTTTGGATACTATATATCATAAATATATTGGATGTATACAAATTATATAGTAAATAAAAGATATTAGATAAAATTAAATATATTATTAAAATTGATTTCACTTGTCTTTTTATCTTTTTAATGTGGCTACTAGAAAATTTGAAATTATATTTGTGGTTCACATTATATTTTCATTTTCATGGCTCTGATGAGTCATGTTGAACTGACATTTGCAAAATAGAAAAGAATTGGTCTGTTCTGCAAAAATGTCCAAGAAACAGTGGAAGGTCTGTATCCCTCTGCTTACTGCCCAGCCTGCCATGGTAACATTCTCATGTTTTATGAGACAGTTGAAATGTCTCTGACCTTTCACACCCAGACACTTGAGGGCTGGCCCCTCACCAGTCCCTTTGCCTTTTGAGAGCCAGTGGTAGTATGTGCAGCATTGAGGCTGATGGGGCTGGCCAGGTAGGCTCAGGTAAGCAGGGAGGCTTTGGCCAGATACCGATGTCATTCTGAGAGTCGGCTGCAGTAATGCCATGATCAGGCAGGATCTCAGCTTCCCGGGGCAGAGACCGTGTGGCCCCTTCCTACTGCCTGCTGGTCAGGAACAGAGAATTTTTATTTTTCCCCAGTTAAATGTGTGCTGCCAATAGCTTGTGCCTGAAGCTTAGCACTTCCTCCTAAATTTAGCTTTAAGCCCCCGCAGGTGAGATCAGTCACTGTCCATCTGTAAAACCAAGGTGTAAAGCTCACTCTTTCAAGTGAAAAGGGGAACTTGCGTGTTCCATCTCTATAATGTTGCAAGGATGACCAGGTCAACCCAGTGGAAGAGATTCATATACCTACTATGGTTACCCTGAAACTCCCAATGGTGGATTGAGTCCCCCAGGCAATTCTTTTGGTCAATTGCTAATATTTGTTTTTACCATTTTATGCTTGAGGGTTCATGTGCAGCAATAGCAAGAGAGTAATATATTGCAATGAGAAATTTTAAAAAATTTATTTTTATTGTTGAGGGTATTACAGATGTCCCCCATTCTTCCCCTCTGCCGCTCCCCCTCCCCCACCTGGCTCCTGCCCACTCCCTGGCCTTCACTGCACTATTGTCTGTGTCCATGGGCGATGCATTTAAGTGCAATGAGAAATTTTGAAGGTGAAAAGAAAAAGAAAAGTCCACTGTTCCCAACCTGACAAAAATTTAAAAGCATAAAGAGGTGTTGAAGGGAACAGTGTTTTTGGATTTGTTTAAATCAGTTTGACTTCATTCATAAGAGAGACTGCATAGTTTTACAAAATTAATCTCTTAACATCAACTCCCAATCGATACTGCTTGCATCACTATTCAGGTTTTGTTTTCCACAGAAGCTGATTTGTGTAGAGAAAACATCTCATCTAGATTCAGAAGGTTATTGCTCTGACTTATTGGATGCTCTGCTTCTACCCTCACCCTTTCCAGTTCTCAGGCCCAAAATTCCTGGTACCATTTGGTAGTACCTTTCTTCGAATAATCTCTGCATTAAAATGGCTTAACCAATCTGTCATGTAAACAGGCCACACGTTTCCAAGTCACCTTTCCCAGCTTCTAACTTGGAAGATCATCATTGTCAAGAGTAGAAGGCGAAGAAGAGAATATGGCACTCCTCTATTCCTCCATCTTCCAACATTCCCAAAACACTCAGTCCTCCCTCCTCCAATCACAAACAAGCACTCCCCACATCTTCCTGCACCCAAATGAAAATCCAAACTCTGGAACCAAGGAATTTAAGAACTGATAGACATCTCAAAGACAATCATTGAGTCCGGCCCCCCCCCCCCATTTTACTTTGAGGAATAAGCCCAAAGGGGCAAATTTGGGGATGCAGTGGCGGAAACTTTCCCATGGTCACGTAGCTATCAAGTGGCAGAGTAGAGCCTAGAAGCCATATCTTCTGCTTCCCCTGATACCAGTCTAGTCTATACTCCCCCCACTGCATCATGTTCCTGGTTCATTTGGAGGTAAAGTGGAAGGTGAACTAGAGGGAGCAGGAACAAGGATCACTGGAGGGACAATGCTCCCTGGTAGTGCAGGAAACTTACTCTTCTTCAGGGCTTGTCGGCACTCAGGGGTGATGGGTGGCGCATTGGACTTCAACAAGGCATTTGAGAGAACCTCGATGATGCAGCGAGTCACCTGGGGGAAACCCAAAAGCAGGTTGGCAAAAGCTGGTACCAATGGGATGACAGACTACTGAACCCAGAGCTGATGCCCAGAAAGGCTTGGCCCTGTGAGCTGTACTGATGCAGAATCCTTGGGGTAGGAATGTAGATTTACAGGACTAATGAAACCTCCCAGTCCTCTCCACAGAGCAATGAAAGATGGCATTGGGCCAAGATCACCCTGAGAAGAGAAATAAATATCCATTTCTGAACAAGTTGGGAGGAAGATGGTGGATGAGACAGTTATCCTCAGAGGCACTAAAACATCCAGGAAGGAGGTTCGAGCCCAGGGCAGGAGGGGCATCCCTTGCCCTCATTCCCTCAGGGATGAAAACCTGGTTTTGTAGGACTATGATGTGTTTTTTGTTGTTCGTTTTTGTTTATTTTGTTTGGTTTGGTGTAATAAGAAGTGGGAGAATCTACAATATTGATATAAGTCTAGATTCTGGACTTATATTTCAACTTACCATTTCTTCATTGTGGTTCCTGTTGTCCACTGGCATAGAACTGACAGCTTTGAAAGAGAAAAAGAATGGGAAATGACTTGAGTTAATTTTGAAAGTGGTGTGAATCCAAACACGGAATTATCCCCCACCTCACACTTGCAATACTTGGAGACAGGGGCAAAATTAGAGCTGAACAGAGTGGAGATAGTTGGGTATGATTGGCTAGTAACTATGCGCGCGCGCGCGCACGCGCGCACACACACACACACACACACACACACACACACACAGAGCTGTGTTCCCTAGTGATGTCTTAAACATGATTTGGAAATTAATGCTATCTTATACCCAGTATAAATCAAATTCAAAGCACAGACAAGGGGAGATTTGGGGGTACTGGTAATGTTCTGTTTCTTTCTTTTTTTAAAATATATTTCTTTGTTGATTTCAGAGAGGAAGGGAGAAAGAGAGAGAGATAGAAACATCAATGATGAGAGAGAATCATTGATTGGCTGCCTCCTGCACACCCCGAGGAATAAGCCCAAAGGGGCAAGGGATGCAGTGCAGGAAACTTTCCCATGCATATGCCCTCAACCCAGGTATGTGCCCTTGGCCGGAATTGAACTTGGGACCCTTCAGTCGCAGGCTGATGCTCTATCCACTGAGCCAAGCCAGCTAGGGCTAATGTTCTGTTTCTTGATCTTGGTGCTGATGACACAGGTGTGCTCAATGCATGAAAAATTCACTAAGCTGTATACTTATGACCTGTTCAGTTTTCAATCTGCCCATTATACTTCAATAAAAAGTTTAAAATAAACCTAGTTTAGTTGAAACCAGCATGCCCTCCTCTACCCTTCTGCACATTTAAAAGGGTAAAGATTTGTGCTTTCCTATACCTATTCCTGTCCCCCCCCCCGAAAAATATCCTCCCCCAAACTCACTTCCTTTACAAAAACATGCTTGTGACTACCTTACATAGTCAATGACCTCATTTTTACCTGCCAGAAGCTCTCTGGCTGAACAGGCTTGCTTATGCATCTTATCAGTCCATGCTGTATACAATCCCCATTGTCTGCAGCCATGCAAATAACATGAAGGTATCTAATTCTAACTAACTAGCATCAAGTCCATAACATAATATGCAAGTAACTACTTATGAGGATATTTTAGTTTAACAACTATGTATGAAGGCAGTTTAAAAGGATAATTTTTAACTCATTTAAATTAAATTTCATGAGATTCTGCTTATTTTAAACCAGATTGAAGTATGTCTTCTTGGGAAATGCTTCAGGTGATTTTAATTTTCCAGTGCCTTCTTTTTTTCTTTCAAAGCTGTTTTGATGCTTTTATGTTTCACTTTGACTTTGTGTTGTCTAAGCCTTTTCCATTGGACAAGCTCAAAGCATTTATGTACATAGAAGCTCATTTCCTCAGTTCTCCTGGCACTTCCTGGAGGAGAAGCTCAGTGCAGAAAGTTCTTCTAGGTCCCTAAAACAAGAGAAGAGCTAGAGCAAAACTCTCAGACATCGGAGATGTAAGCTACTCAAATGCAGTTATTTATAATCAGCAACCTGACCCTTCCCTCCTTAGTGTTTGCTCCCCAAGCCTCTTTAACCACTTCCATCCAATCAACTACATATCATAGGGCTCAACCTAGAAATACAACACTATTCCATTTACTCACCTTACTGAAGTTTCCTCTTCAAAGTATGACCTGGGATCTACTTCAATAGTTTCAAGAGGCCCAAAGATATCCAGCATATTAAAATCATTTGTGAAATGTTTAAGAAGTGGCTAACAAGGTATGAAGACCCCATATTCTTCCTGAAATGTAGTTCAGACAAGATCCAGATGACCCACCTTTGGCACCCAGGCTCCACTACGCTGAGCCATTATCCCCCCCCCCGGCCCCCCCCCCCCCAATTAGTGCTATTTGGGAACATTCTCACTTTGGCACTTACTCTTCCCACCTGAAATCTGTAAAATCCTCTGAAAAAAATAACTGAGGTAATTCCTCCTCTCATAAACTAGAAGGTGCCTTTAAAAGCTTTATTATATTTCTTTGGTATTGTAGCTTCTTGCTTATACTTCCCTCTTTTCCCCCTGACAAATGTAAAGTAGGTGTTTTTAATAACTACTGATATTGTCGAAATATTAACAGTAATCAGATTTGGGGGGAGAGAAATATTTTTCTTTTGTTGCTCTAAACAATTTTCAGCTCATGTTTATTATTACAAAACAGTATTGTTTCTCTGATTGAAGCTCTTCAGAAATCTTTTTGATGGGAAGGAACTAAGGTCTCCTTGTGAAAGTACATTGTGCATCTTGGTGAGACATAGAAGTATGATTGTATTTCTTCCAACAGAATCCGTGACAACAAAGTAATAATCAAAACATCTTGATTTCCCTAAAGTAGTTTCCTTTCCTGTTTTTGAATAAAGATTCAGGAGGCACAAAAGAAAAGCCAGTTATTATGTTAAAATAAAGTAGTACATCAATAAAATATATATTTTAAAATAAAGTAGTACATGGTAGAAAAATTTCAAATAATATTGTATGATAAATCTGAGAATAACACCCAAAGTATTAATATCTCATAAAAGTATCAAGGTTTGATCCCAGATTGAACATAAAGCTATACAATAACAAGTTAAGCCAGCCCTTTGAATGCAGAAACCATCTAACCTGGTATAATATGGTTATCATACTGTCACTTCTCTCATGTTAATTTATAGAGTGCACAGTAGCTACTGTAAAAATGTGTAGCCCTTCCTCCAGAAGCTCTGAAGGGTAGAAAATGAGCCATATGGTTTCCTGAGTTTTCTTCCCAGCCCTGAGATTTTGCTAAATAACAAACTCTGCTTGAAGGTTATCACATCTCATTTCCAGGTACTGGGGGAGGTGGGATTGGAAAATAGCTGTTAATGGATATGGGGTTTCTTTCTGGGTAATGAAAATGTTCTGAAATTTGATAGTGGTTATACAATCTGTGAATATACTAAATATCACTAAATTAGGCACTTTAAAGGGTGAGTGAATTATAGATAATATAAATTTTAAATACAATGTCTCCATTTTAGCTCATATTAAAATATGAACCCTTCTTAAAATATTCTCTTATATAAGAGAGCTGTAAGAATTTTACCACTATTGTTAAATAAGCTTCACAAATGTCACTGTTATTGTGATGCACAGTACAATGCATAGCACAGCTTTGGCCTCTTAAGCAATTCCTTTCTGAAGATATTTTTGACCAGAAAGATTCCAGATTATTCATTTGGATTTCTTTAATTAAATTGAGAACACTTATAGGCAATTTGTAAGAATGCAAGCATTTTAGAAAATTCTAAATGTATGTAGCTTGCAATAAAATAAATGGCCACTGGCTTTCCTTTTGTCTCTTTACATTTTGGATCCAGTAATTGTTGTCAGTAAAAGCTTCATATTCATGAATGGCAACATCTCAATTCTAGTTAGAATCTCAATCTCAGATAAAAAAAATTTTCTATGAGGCCATTAAAACAGCCAAAGAAAACCTCCAGTTTAATCTGGTGATCTATTTACTTCTTAATGGTCTCAATACTCCTAATGACTTTACTTACACACACACACACACACACACACACACACACACACACACACACTTTTTAAAAATCTCCAGAGCTAGTTTGAAAGATTAATTTCACATTTTACCCACATCAAGAGAAACTATCACCCTAGTCTGTTTTGCTCAGTGGTTAGAGCGTTGGCCTGAGGACCTAAGGGTCGCAGGTTCTATTCCTGGTCAAGGGCACGTACCTCAGTTGCAGGCTGGATCCCTGGCCCAGGTCAGGGCTTGTGTGGAAGACAACCGATTATCTGTCTCTCTCACATCATTGTTTCCCTCTCTGTGTGTCTTCCCTTCCTCTCTCCCTTCCCCTCTCTCTAAAAATCAATGGAAAAATATTCTCAGGTGAGGATTTTAAAAGAGAGAGAGAGAGAGACTCAAATATTTCACCCTGTTATATGTCAATTATAACTCAATTTAAAAAAACAGAAAAAGCTTATCCTCCCAAATTGACTAAAACAATTTTTTATTACTCCTGAGGATATTTTTGTAGTCACTTTCTATTATATTGCTTTTCTGGAATACAAAAATAAAATTGTCTGCTGAAGTTTCCATTCATAACTTAAAAATATATTAACTTGAGTGTGGAATTACCTTTCTCCAGTGACGGAAATACAAAATACAGAAAAATATTACATTAACCCTGTGCACACATATACATGAACACACACATATATATTATATATGAACATGATACTAAAAAGATATGATATTTTATAGACATATGAGACGTTTATCTCATCATGTTAATATCATAATAATAACAAAGGGAAATATGGAGGTGCCAATTATGTCATATTACATGAATTCCTGTCACTCCCTGGTTATCTAGTTTTTAAAAAAGCCAAACAAATACTTAAATCAGATACAGCATAAGACCATAACAGCGTCTCTCCAGGCCGGTAGAGAGGGCCTGACAATTTAGAACTGAGCACAGCGTGCCCTGGAGGCACGGGCACCTTTCCTCCCTACGGCAGGGAAACCCAGATACGAAAAGACTGACTGAGACTCCTCTGGTTGGGCTAGGAAGCCCTCTGGCTTTTTCCAAGTCAGACGGTGGAGCTGGGAGTTGAAGGGAATCACCCAGGGAAGAGAAGAAATTAAGAACCTCAAGCAAGAGGGAGAAACCTTCCACTGAACCCTCTTTCTCTCCCAGGATCATCCCGCTAAGATGCCGGGTGACGGGGAAGACGAGAGCCTGGCGCTGTCCGCGGTGCTGAACGGCCCGCCGCGCCCACTCACCCGCCACCATCGTGGCTCCCAGGAGGCCAAGAAGCACGGCCGGCTGCATGGCCGGGCTCGCCCGAATCTGCGCGGAGAAGATGGGCAGCTGGTCCAGCGGAGCGAGATGCGGACCGGAGAAGAGATGAAGATGCTCCAGAAAGCAGTCGTGTGTCGGTGGTGCCCGCGGTGTGGCGCAGGCCCCCGCTCTTTTAAAGGGCAAGTCCGGTTGCAGGGCCGGGAGGGGCGGGCACCTAGGAGGCGGCGCCCCCTCGCTCAGCCCTGACGTCACGAGGCAGCCCCGTGGGCGGTGGCACAAGTGGGCGGCAATTTGCACCAGCCCAGTCGCCTGGATGCTCTGGGTCTGGAGCGTGGGTGGAGAGAAAGCCAGATGAAGGAATAGAAGGGTGAGGCGAAGTAATGCCAATCAGAGACCAGGGAGAGGCGAGGTCCCACTTAGCTCCCCCAAGATTGCTCCTCATCTTCCCCCGCCCCCTGCACTTCCAAGTCTAAAAAAGTGTGTGGGAGGCTGTGTATGGTGTGCGGTTCTGTTCAGGGCTTGTCTATGAATGATTAAGTCTGTTTTGTGTCTCCACTACCTAAGGAAGGAAGGATAAAACTCCTGCTAACAAGAGAGAACTAAACCGAGGTGAAAATAGAAAAAGGAGTGATGGCTTTAAAAACAAAAGGTGGAGCTGGAGAATATGGAACCTGCTGGGGTTTTTTTTTCTTCAAACTTTTGGTCTTAAATCTACTTACCCATGATTCATTCTATCTATCAACTATCTATCTATCTAATCATCTATCTACGATTCTCCCAACACATTACATATACATATGGTAAAAATGAGAAAAGCAGATGCTACAAAAGGGTTTACTATAAATGTTTCTCCTCCACCTCTAATTCGCCAAGTTCCCCAGTTCCCTTCTGCAGAGTCAAAATGACTTAGCCACTTTCTGTCGTTAGGCTTGATTTACTTGGGGACCATATACAGTTGCATCTTCATTTGATTGGTTGCACAGTATGACATTAATTGTATGCACTAGAATTTCCTTAGACCCCTTTCTGATGGGCATTTATTTAGTTTGTTATCCTTTGGCTTCATTACTCCTTTATAGCAGAGCCATAGTCTCAGGCGCTGGGAATGGAATAACCTGCTTGTAGGAACTAGTGCATCCCACAAGCCATGTGCATCTTCTTTTGATTTAAAATTGAAATAGGAAATTACTTTGTTGTAATGTGTGAGAGGAAAGCGAAAACACCTTCCAGGATATTTTTTACTTCAGTTCTCTCAGTCTAATGAGGAATCAGGAAAGCAGCAGGCAAATGCCGATGATAACACAGGCTTCGGAGAATAGAGTGAGGCTTCATTTGGGGTCCTTTTCTGGGAAGACAGATGTCTGCATGCACAGCTAAAAGGAGGCGTCAGTGTCCTTTTCCTGAAAATCAATGAGGCTTAAATTATTTTGCATGTGCTGAGTGTATGGCTACACCTTCCTAAAAAGGCTGAGAATTAGTTCACCAAGACCACAGTCACAGAATATTTAAAAGAAGAATCTTAAAAAAGATATTAGTGGAATAATTGGAAAAATTTGAATAAGACCTGTAGATTACATAATAATTGTTGTATCAGTGTTAATTATCTGATCTTGAGAATTGTACTGTGATTATGTAAGAAAATGTCCTTGTTTTTAGAAAATACATTTTCTAGTATCTAGAGATAAAAGGGTGCCACATGTACAATTGATTCTAAAATGTTTTAGAAAAAATGTAATGGTAGAGTTAGGGGAAGAATACTAAGGTGAAGAAAATACAAAAGAAAGAATACTAAGGTGAGCAGGACATGATAACATTTGGGAAAAGTGTATGAAAAATTTTAATACTATTTTTGCATTTTTCCAAAATCTGATATAATTTTAAAACAAACAAAAAAATGTTCCTGGCACGAAAGAATCTGTTTAAAAATCTCTGAAAGCAGTGGGTTCAGAAAATGAAGGTGTTGCATTAAGGCCCTTCCTTGGGTACTGATCTGGGAGATGTTCTTCCTCTACTATTGAAATTATATAAGGGTTCCAATCGCTCTCTTTTTTCAAATATGTTTTTATTGATTTCAGAGAGAGGAAGAAAGTGGGGGAGAGAGATAGAAAATCAATGATGAGAGTTAATCATTGATTGGCTGCCTCCTGCACACCCCCTACTGGGGATCGAGCCTGCAACCCTGGCACATGCCCTGACTGAGAATAGAACCTTGACCTCCTGGTTCATGGGTTGATGCTCAACCACTGAGCCACACTGACTGGGCCCAACTGCTCTTTTAACTGCACTGATTGCCAGTAGGGCTTTGAAATTGTGATCTTCCAGGAGCATCTGCATTCCAGTTTTCTAATGGGATTTCCCTTGTTGCCTTGAAAAACACAGGGTTTAAAGTCATCTGTGGCTTCTCAGACTGAACTTGCTCTGAGTTAATTACTCATCAAGAAAAGTCTTTTTATTATTGTCAGTTGGCCTACAGCCATTTTCTATATTCAGACTTACCTTTCTTTTTTCTCATTATCTAATAACCTTTTTATTATTTTGCCTTCACATTTAGCTTTCCATGTACCAGAAGGAAAAGGGCTTTGGGGAGGAGCTTTTCTCAGGAATTTTATCAAACCAGGATGATGGAGGAAAACCAGTATTTTTCTTAGGAACCAGGGTTTAGAAAAAATATGGTATGAGATAAGGATATAGTCAGGTTAAAAAAATTTTTTTTTTACCATATCACCACCTAATTACCTTGGGATTTTTTTTTTTTAAAATTGAAGTGACTATCCTTTGCCACCTGTTCTGCCATGTCACTTTGAAAAAAATCTAGTCCACATGTACATGGGTATGTTTCTGGACTCTTCCAGAATATTGATTCATTCCATTTCATTGGTCTATTTGTTTATCCTTGGAGCACTACCACACTTACCACACTTTCTCTATCACCATACATTTTTAATGTCTTAATATCTGATGGAAAAGGTCTTCATGTCTTGTTTTTCTTCATTAGGGTATTGGTGATTCTTGGTCCTTTGCATTTTCATGTCAATTTTAAAATTAGTTGTCAATTTCCATGAAAAAAAAAACCCGTTAGGATTTTGATAGTAATTACATCAAATCTATAGATTAATTTGAACAGGTGACAGCTTTAATCTGTAGATCAATTCGGGAACAGATGATATCTTTACAAGATTGAGCAAACTTGGCTTTTTGATTGCTGATAATATTCTGGATATAATCTTATCTCAAGTAGCACAAAATTCCATTACCACACGAAAAGACAAAAAGCCATAGGAAAGAGAATGTCTCAGGAATGCTCTCAAAGAAGAACTGAGGAGGAAAACATATCTCCTCTAGGAGATTAACCATGATTTTGTATAAGACTCCTGAATAGATTATCCATCAGGGTTTGGCCAGGAGGAAAATGAAACCACTAGAAGGAATTTAACACAGGAAATAATGTCCAGGGATTAGAAAAGTTAAAATAGGGGAAAATGAGGAAACCCAGACATTAGTAACTGCAGGCAACTGCTGCACCCCTGGGGAATGGAGAGGTAAAAGAGGAATGTGTCCTTACTGAAACCCAGAAATGTGGGCCTCTTGCTAGGAGTGTAAAACTCTGCAGCTAGGAAGGTGGGATTTGGGGGCAGCTTTGGGAGAAGGTCTATTTGGTCGGAGCTGGGACCATGGAAGAGAAGCAGCCACTGCTAGAGATGTAGCCCGTCCTTCCAAGAAGAGAAAGCGAGAGTATCACCCTGGCTTCTTCCTTTCTTTAGTGCCAGTGCCTCTTAGTGGCTGAATATACCTGGAAATGACTGACAGGGAAGCCTGGGAAATAGCATTTGCAAAGGCCAGTCCCGCCAGTGAAACAGAACAGAGGAAGAAAGGAATCATCAGAAAGCAAACAGAGAGATGGACGGCACATAAATCAAAACTACTTAGCAGTATAGGTACTGAATTTAGATTTTTCTCTCAGAATTACTTTTATTTGCATATGTAAATGCTCACTATGTGTCAAGCACTGTGGTAGACACATATCCTTTGGCTACAAGTCACATGGTCAATCCCAACATTAATGATGAAAGGAAACATACTCTACCTGTTCTAGCAGAGTTCGCCAGCCAGTCAGGGAGTAAAGGTGGGAGAGGTGTGGGGTAGACTCCAGGTGTACAGAGGAGGGTGAGAGAGCATAGCGTGCCTGGACAATGGCATGACCGTGCAAACTACTGCCCTCCGAACATACATCGACAGAATTATCTGTGTTTGAAGCCAATAAGACAATTATGTATTGCTTGGGACGTCAAGGTGTTTTTTCCCCCTAATAAATAGGACCAAGTCAACAAGTAATTTCCTTAGTAGTTTGGTCCTAGAATATATTTAGTACCTGGTTTCTTATGTCAGGTCAGATTCCTAATACACTTTGATGGAATTAAGAAATCACAATAAAATCCTCATCTTAAGAGAAGATAGAAACAATTTTTTTATCCATTAAACTATAGGTAATGTAACTACTTGTAGCTTGCAGGTAGATACGTATTAGTGGGGCAGGGGCTGGGTAGCGGTGGTCAAAAGGTGGAGGACATGGGGGACATCTGTAATACTGTCAACAATAAAAATACATGTTAAAATATAATAAATAAACATTTCTCAAAAGAAGTCAAAAGATAGAGCCACAACCATTTAGGTTTGACAAAGCAGGGGCTACTCCTCTTCATTTCGGAGTTTGCAGAAAATTGGATGTGATAGATAAACATTCAATTATTTGTTTATATATCGGAGATAAAGCAAAGAATGGGTTTTGAACTACATGGGATAACTATGGTTGGGTCTGATGAGTTGATAAGACCAGTTTTGACAAATCTATTCTAGTTAGCAACATGTCACATGGTAAAGATCTAGAATGGATGAAGAGTGCCTCCCGATCTCTCATATGTCCCTCCTCCTTCTCCCCTTCCCCAGGCTCCTCCCCCACTGCAGTAAATGCTGCTGGTTTTCTGCTCATTTCCCTCATTCTTACCACTTTGGAGCACACTGGTTTGATTTACAGTGATCAAGACCAACATTTCTTTGCCCGCTGGCTTTCTCTGGTCACCAGAGCTATGCCAGAAGTGCTGAGGAAGTAAGGTCCCCAGGAGTATCCCTCACTCAAAGACTGCCAGGAGTTGGTGTATAAATACTCCAGATCCGCCATGGCGGATGTAGCTCAGTTGGTTGGGCATTTCCTGTGCACTGAGAGGTCACTGAT